AATTTTTCTCTAGCCTTAGGCTGCAAGGCAGCACCATCTCTTCGCATTGTAGGTAATCCACAATACACTCCCACACAGGCCACAAACACCAACACTAGCTACAGCTACAGCTAGCAAACTTGCACACTAGCTTAGTATTAGGCAGACACAACACCCGTAGGATAAGAGTGCGAACGACCCGGTCTACACACGACACGCTATAACAGGTAGAGATATGTTACCGTTTTTCCCCGCCCCCATGACAACAGCTAACTAGAGCCGAGGTCCGAGTCTTAGAGACGCCCTGTAGTTGAGCCGACTCCCTCAGGTTCGAGTGGTCTAGAGTCTCCAGACGGAGGAGACTCCCCCCATCGGGAAATGCTATCCGCCTGGAATACCTCTAGAAGCTCTCGCCAATTCTCTGCTTGAGGTCGCCTTGGGATCTCGCCGTCCCCAAACCCGGTGATGCTGTAAAGATCATCTGCGACCAACAGCATACACACAAAAAAAACAACTTTTAGCAAAATTGGATGGTGACCAAAAACTTATCACCTCGAGCTCTTCCGTGCTTCGGAAGTATGTACTGATGATGTTGATGTAAAGCAAAGAAGCTTATTCGTTCTACTGCAGTGTCGCGCACCGCAGCAACAAATTACGAAGTAGTTAGTGGCAATTACTTCGCTGACATGATTAGTGTTGGTTACGCTACGATGGACGGACGCGCCGGCGTCTGGATTCAAAATGGCAAAAGCAAGTGGACTTGAAAGTTACATACACTTCATGTAGCTACGTAGATATAACAGCTAAATACAAACTAAGTATTAGTATTATCTGGATAGAAGTGAAACTGGTCGTCAAGCGTCCGTTTGATGATTTTTCTATTTTTTATTTATCGTCATTATAAATATTCAAAATTTAACTGGCCCATATGGACAGAATCGCTTAGAGGATGCCCAAAAGCACAGCTTTTGAAGTTAGGAAAAGGTAAGTATAATAAACTTAAGGTCACATATCCGATTACCGACCATTTCGAAAGAGACATGGCTTTCACAATTGCAGACCGCACCGTAATTATAAAAGAACAGCTGCCACCCGGGAATTTGTCCGTGTTTCTTTTGTTTTTTGAGAATCCCACAGAAACCTTAAATTTTTCCAGGACAAAATGTATCCTATGTTCAATCTAGGTCATAACCTATATTCTACCAAATTTCATCCAAATTCGTGCAGCATTTCTGCGTGATTGAGTAACTACAGCTTTCACATTACAAACGAAGTTACAAACTTTCACATTTATAATATTAGTAGGATTACCTTAATAGAAACAACCGGCCAAATGCGAGTCGATCTCGCGCACGAACGGTTCCGTATAAGAAACGGCGAAAAGAAAAATCATCTGTTTGTTTTCGTCACAACTTACAAAGTACATTACAAGTCGGCGTTTTCGGTATTTGTTGTCTAAATACATCATATGGGACATCATATACCAAAATTTTACATTCCCAACTAGTTTCGATTTTGAGTTAGACCCCGTAACAAAAATGGTCAAATAATATCAACGGTGAAAAGGCTTCCCATTTCTATGTTATTGGAAATAGAAAAAAAGAGGGACTTTCACCTAAACATTTAAAAGACCTCATTCCCGTCTCAGTCGGTGACGCTGGCAGAGCCTGTCGCCGCTCACGGGCCACACGCCACAGCCACAAACGCTGCCACGAGAAGCTAGTAGCGGCTACTAAAGTGGCTGAAGCGCGACAGCGGCCGACTAAGTGTCGCCGCACACGGGCCACACGGCACAGCCACAAACGCCGCCCCGAGAAGCTAGAAGCAGCTACTAAAGTGGCTGAAGCTGAAGGGTTCGGGAATTGCGCGAATCGGCGTTTTGTATCGGCGCATTAAGTGGCCGGTGCGGGCCACAAGAAGCGAGTAACGACGATTTGTAGCGTGTGGCGGCCACCGGCGTACCGTGTGTGGCGAGTCCATATAAAATGTATGAAAACTACAAGAAATATGTCGGTGGCGGCGTTTTGTGGTTGTGGTCGGTGGCCCGTGTGCGGCGACACTTATTACATAATATAAAAAAGTGAAAATCACACATTTTTATAATTTGAATTTGGTTCAATCTTCTGTATTTTTTTTAATGATGCCATAACCAGCCGGATACAAATTGTATAGCCAGAGATTTTATTACAAGTTCATACCGTACTATAATGCGAAAAAGCCTTTTTCCTCAACATAATTATTTTTTAAGAAAGTACCTACTCTTGTTATGTGACACTTTTATAGAAAAGTATAACCTGTACTTCTAGCGAGATAATGAATGAAACTGAATATATAGATTACAAACTTTCATTGGTATATTATCGACATTACCCCCGATACGTTTCAATGAAAATTACTCATGGAAAGTGGAATCTAGATGACTCTCTTACGCACAGCAATTACGTACGTGTTGAGATTATTAATTTCTCATTAGATCCATAAAAGTATTCAACTAGTGGGATAACTGGACAGGACACATCCCATAGGCAGGCGTGCTGGTAGAAATCGCGCACAATTTTTACTACCACCGTTGATGATTTACGATAAGATCTGGGTACATTGATTTATGTATGATCGTAGTGTCATAATAAGAATGTAAGTTTTTTTCACATAGGTATAACGGGTCAATTACGTAGGTAGAGCAAGGCGTTCGTATTGCTTTATGTATTTTGTGCAACGACCCTCTATATAAGAACCTAATATATTATAGTCCAGGAAATGAAGCATATTGGCTCGCAATTTTTACGTCCACCATGGATTTACTTGATATTTTCAAAAAAGATAGGGAACAGCTCAGGGATCATTTTCTATATCATGCCGCTGTACGCTAGAGCCTTGGGGATGGTTGCCACCCCATCTCGGGGGTGGAATTTTTTTATTACATTTTAACTGTAGGAATCGACGGAAAAAGTAATTCTAAGAAAAAAATACTATGTACATTTTTTCGTAGAAGTAATATTTTTTGAGTTATTCAAGTTGAAAGTAACAGATTTTGACGAAAATATCGACTTTTTTATGGTTTTTTGCGAATAACTCTAAAAATATGCATTTCATCAAAAAAAGGGCAGATAGTCAAATTGTAGCTTTAAAAAAAACAAAAACAATGCGTTTTTTATAATTTTTGAAGTTATACTTCTTTAGGCGCGTTATGAAAAAATGATGAGAGTGAAATTTTAAGATGCGCGCGCATCACTGTAACACAAAATTTTAACAGCATGAAGTTGGTCGCTTTAGTGTTTACCGCACATTAAGAAAATCTACCAACAAAATAGAAATAGAATCTCTATTTAGTGGGTGCTAACGACTGCATTGTGAAGGCCTATCAAAAGTATTTATTAATCTGGAACAATGGAACCAAAGCGCGATTCAGGAGACTACAGCGCCATCTCTTGACCATTGGTGTAGTAGAACAAAAAACCACATCTTTATTTTTTGTAATAAAGTAACATGTATAGGTATTCATATTTATAATATCAAAAGTATTTATTAATCTGGAACAACGGAACCAAAGCGCGATTCAGGAGACTACAGCGCCATCTCTTGACCATTGGTGTAGTAGAACCAAAAACCACATCTTTATTTTTTGTAATAAAGTAACAGTTATAGGTATTCATATTTATAATATTTATCCACATGTTTCTAGTTTGTATATTCGCAATACGTGTTTGAGTTTCATACAAGTGCAAATCACATAAATTATGTTCTAATAAATTATATTCAGTAGCGATTTTAATTGAATATTTTGATTATTTATTTATTTTTTCAAATTAAAACTAAACTTTATTGACTGTGTCCTTTTCCAGACTTTTTATTAATTTATTGTAATTAATTATTTGCATGCAATTAAAAACTAATTTTAAACGATGCCAAAGAAGGATAACTTCTCACGCGCCTACATAAGTACACGCACCCATTTTTCTATGACAAACATAAACTAAGATACAGCAAATTAATGCTTAGCTTTTTTCGCTAAATGCATAAATAGGAAGATTGACAGCGAAAGAACGAGAAAAATTTGCATTATTCGAAGAAAGCTCATAGAATCTTTTTTAAATTATTTAATTAGAGCTTTCAAACAAATAAAAAATAATGTGTCTAGCTTAAAAAATGACATAAAAAATGACATAGTCTTATAGCTCCTGAAAAGCTCTACAAAATCGTTCCTGAAAAAAAAATTCTATCACCTAAAATGAAGGAGATATGCTTAAAAACCGAGAAACTTTATTTTTCGAAAAAGTACAATGTTTCTAAGGGTAGTTTTTAACAAGGGTTGGTTGAAAGATTATGAAATTGTATCCTAAAGCATGAAACAATCATTTTTTAACTATTTTTACCCCTATTTAATTTTTTAATTTTAATTTTTGATAATAAGGGGTAGTTTACACCCCTAAAAAACAAAAAGCGTACAACGGCACAATATAAAAAATGAACTAGATGGTGAAATAAGCCTAATCCCAAATTTTTGTACAAATCGTTTGGTGCTGGACGAAAAAATTGCGAGGTTTTACCATTTTTTTAGCTTAATTTCCTGTGTTGTTAAGAATAAAAACCAATGCCTGCTCAAATAAAATTATATCAATTAAATTTTCTCGATGCTACCTATTTCCTCACAATTCTTCCATGCAAAACGACATTAACAAAAACCTCTGCACAAATTATTGTAAGACAGCACACTGAAAAGCATGCTTTAGAAATACTTTCTATCGTCGCTAGATGGCGCTGTTTTACACCTTTGAATAAAAAAGCCTTTCAGTAAATATTTCAAGAAAATGAAAATGTTTGTTGTGATAAAATTTCAAAACGAGTTCTTTTTCTCTGTAACGATAGGCATACATATTGAATGGGTTACTAGATAAATTGTAATCTAAACTCATTACTCACTGTATAATAGGCAATTCAATAGAGTAATAAATATTATTTAATTATCTTATAATGTATTAAGTACTTACCATTATTATTCTATTGTACTTATAAGCACTTACCTTGCAAGAGCCCTGCACACAGATGGCTCGGAATCCCGGCTTAGTGCAAGGAGTTCCATCGGCGACTAGTGCTAATGAAGCGTAAAACTGCTGACCGCGAGGCCGGCAGTTCAGGGTGCAAGGTGCGTCACCTAAAAAAAAATAACGAGACAATGGGTGTTATTATCATCAAGATAATAAAATGTATCATAATATAAACAAAGCCGTAATCCGTTAATGAACTGCAACTGCAGTCCATATAGGTATGAAAATTTTAGTTCCGCTACTGCCCGCATGTGGCGCTGTGCAATAAGATATCGTGTAGTCATGTTAATTGATTTACATTACTAATGAATGCCTTTGTTATGATGTAGGCAGGTGAATGCTAATATTTATTGTTAGCAAAATAAAAATATATGTACCTATATTACTAATATACATAAAAATCCCTATTAGAGCTCGATGTGTGTGAGTGATTAGCGAAATACGAAAGTCAAAGTTAAGGGATTTTTCCCATTCCTAATGGCAATAGCATCAGTGAATAAAACACACTTTTCTCATTCACACTAGAACACTGTTTTGTTTTTATAATTATTTCTTAATTCTGTAATGTACATTATCATCAGCCTATAAATGTCCCTACTGCTAGGGCACAGGCCTTCCTTTGAAAGAATAAGGAGACTAGGCCGTGCGTGACCCACCAAGTAGAGGATTCGATCCCGGGATCCCGGTCATATTCTAGTCTCGAAATTTTCGGGATTAAATGTAATAAATCCCGGGATTTTCGGGATTGATATATTTTTATATATAAGTCAATAAAAATGTGCGTGAAACGAAACGCGCTTACTTTCTTTTTTTGACGTTTCGACGGCCATCTTGTTTACACAGGATATGTGTAAAACCGGATATGTGTAAAAGTGTGTAAAAATTCAGCTTCAACAATCAATGAATTTATTAAAAAACAACCAATGCATCAATGTGTCTGAGTAAATATACATGACAATCAAGGAGTGTTATTTTCTGTAGCTCTAAGGTTATGTTTATGTTGTGCATATACTCAAATGTTGTTTTCATTTTTGTTTAGATTTAAGAAATAAACAATGTCATTATCCGAAGAAAGTTTTTATGTCAAGCATAAAAAAGATGAAGATGTTTCGTCAGTGTGGAGTAATTTTTTAGTCGATAAAGCGGGTAGTGTAATGTACGCGTTGCTTAGCTATTTTAAAGACCTTAGGACGATCAACCAAAGGCCAGATACTCATCTATCTTCAAATCATTTCGTAAAAGTAGATTATGCTAAGGCATTTTCCTCAACGGGCCAAAATAATGAAGGACCATCTATAGTCTTTTTTATAATATATAAATAAACAAGTCTAAAGAAGTTGATTTTTCAAAGTTTGTTGTAAAATAAAATAAACAAACTAGGCACTTCTGCAAATTATTTATGAAATAGTTTTCAACCGAAACTATTTCATAAATTAAGAAGTGCCTAGTTTGTTTATTTTATCAGAAGAAAGTATAATTTTGTTTTGTTTTTTTTAAAGATTTAATATTAAAAGTTGATTTTGATATGTTTCACTGTTTTTTTGTTACTACTTTCTCTTTCCAATACAATTTCGGGACTCTCCCGGAATCCCGGGATTAACTGTAGATAATACCGAAATACCGGGATTAGAAAAATCGACCAGGATCAAATCCTCTACCACCAAGCTAACGATCGCAGATGTAGCCGGCACCAATAGCTTAACTTGCCTTCCGAATCACGGAGGAGCTCTAGATAATATTTTTTTGGTCACCCATCCAATGACCGACCATGGTGAAAGTTGCTTAACTTCCACGACCGCAGACCGAACGCGCTAACCACCTGCATCATCGAGCTTCTCGGTTCCTCGTACTGTAATATCGGCTCCTTGCAATACCTCTGATTGCAAGACATCCACGCCTAACCTAACGAAATTCTAGGACTTGTTATTAAGAGGAAATCTTACCATCAACATAAGGCACCCAAGTGTAGAACCTTCCTCGAAAGGGCCTCCGGTCATACACCGCACACTGGTCTTCCCGAGGGTCCCTGGGTGGGCCCGGGCAAGGCTGTAAGCAGAAACCATTACAATTAAGTATCTAGCCTGAAATTAAGCACTGTGAGGCTTGTGCTAGTTGTGTTATGGGATACTATGGTTGCAGATAGTAGATCTTACTTATAATAAAATAAACATAAAAGATTGTATGTTTGTACTCAACCCAACTCAACCACGCAAAATCTAGGTACCTACTGAAATGATTTGGACGAAATTTGGTACGCATTTACTATATGATCTGGATTGAGACATAGAATCCTATTTAGTCCAAAAAATATTAGGTTCCTGTGGAATTCTCAAAAAACTAAAGTTGTGCAGACGAAGTCGAGGGCGGCCGCTAGTACATGATAGTAGGGCGATTTACTCGAGCGCGGCAGAATAACATGAGGGGTGCAAACCTCATGAAATACTTCCACCATATCTGAGTCCTCTATACAGGGCTGAACATCTAAGGAAGCAAACAAATTCAACAACGGCCAAATCGTCAGCCTTTTGAATAAAAGCTACCGGAAGGTTCACGTTCAGGCTTACACTTAACCAGCGATTCTAGCTTACCTCATGCGATCTATACTACGCACTAGTTTCCCACTATTTCTACTCCGAAGGCATGGCGCTATTATATCATTAGTCCAAGATCAATGTCGGAAGGTAAGCTCGATTCACGCGGTCTGTACTACGGACGAGTTTCCTTCAATTTCTACTCAGAAGACATGGGCCAATGTACCATTGGCCCAAGACCATTGTCGTAAGTTAATAATGTTTCTACTCGCAGCTGTATTACACTCGTAGTACCGGCGCGCCAGTCCCGGAGAGTTAGGGTCAGAGGCTTGCACTAGAGCAGTGCTCCTTGCTCGCAAAACATGGACCTATGTATCATTGGCCCAAGATCAATGACGGAAGTTAATAATGTTTCTACTTACAGCTGTATTACACTCGTGGTACCGGCGTGCCAGTCCCGGGCAGTCAGGGTCCGAGGCTTGCACCAGAGCAGCGCTCCTGGCTCGCCTCACGCGGTCTGTACTACGCACTAGTTTCCTTCTCTTTCTACTCCGGCGCATTCTGAAAGAGGCGAGAAACAAAAGAATGAACAATAGAAAAATGAATGAATATGTTATGTTGCAGGATGATTTGATAACGGCGAAACGCCAGATTAAAATTGTTAACTGTAACATTGAGCAATATCATCGCAATAGTCTAATTATTATCCGTGTTTTCGTAGAATCCCTAGGATTACTAGGATCACTATGATTTTAGAATATTTATCAATTCATCATACGACTTACATACCATGAACCAGAAGCAATCCTGACTAAAAAGTTTATCTTATTCATTCTAAATTCGCCTGTTACCTATTTCTTCTGACTTTACTCCTTTACTCATGATGGACTCTCTGTTTTTGTAAACTTAAAGTGACAGGTATAAAATCCACTATTTCGAAGTGGTAAATACTAGATATGTCAACTAAATTATAAAACTATTTTTAATAATTTCATCGAACAATCAAAAATACTACAAGTAATAGACAGCATATTTAAAATAACGTGCGCTGATACTTAAAAAAAAATGGTTGCCTGTAAAGTCGGTTTTACGGGCGAAGATTTTACGTGACAACGTCTTTTTCTCGGTAGAATATTTATTGATATGAATATAATTAAATTGCACAATAGGAACAAGGAATTGAATGAAAATAAGAATTGCACAAATTTTAACTATAGAAATATATTTTGTTTACTAAAACATTGTACATGTAAACTTAAACTTAACACGAGAGACTCATCGTAACGTTACCGAGCGTTACACTTTTTCATAAGTGACTCCCAGCCGCAACCTAATTTAAGACGTTGTCACGTCAAAAACCTATCTCAAAATCGGATTCGACTAGCGTGTTATTGACACTTCATCCAATCAACTCATTTCGAAGTCTCAATCACGTCAACTTTCCACGAATCCGGTGCGCCGGTCGTGGTACGAGCACGAGTAGCGAGCCAGTGGCTGATTGCCTCTTGTGGATCCAGGTCACGCGGCATTGTGGCTCGCGACCCCACACGGCTGCATTTCACTATTTGTGGTTTCCGACGTCTCACTGATGTCTGTCCGACCAACTGGTTCCCTGGGAAACCTTGGCTCCCATACGTGATCATTGAACTTGTAAACGCGTTCGAGTGATTCGTATTGACTCCGCTATCTTTGGGAAATTGATAACTATTAACACCTATTTCAAAACTTCGATTTAAAAAATCAGACTACACGCAAATCGTATCCCGCCATAGATTTTGATAGTAAATATTGGTAAGATAAGGGAAAAGTTTGCTCGTCCCTGTCTAGTCTATGGTGGCCGCTTAACACATGGACGGTCTTATTTTAGCGTGCTACTCTTTTCTGAAAAAGAAACTGGTATTGTGAAGACGCAGAAAATAGAGCCATCTTGGTCAAGGATTAAGATATGAGTGACCACCACCTGCACCAGCTCATTATGAAGGAAGGAATTTTGAGTAAAAACAAATGTTGGCAGAAGTGAGAAGTTTTGCTAGCGGAACTTCTGGTAGAGGAAGAAAATTACAAGCTTTAATATATATAATTACTAAAATTTAAAATCGCTGGGATGGCTTATATCCTAAGTTAGTAATTAAAAGCCACTTGAAGAGGAAAACTATAATTACTGTGCACCGACACCTTTAATTTAGATGTAGTGTGAAATTATAAATCACTAAGTTAAACAAACATCCATACCTAAAGATTCGTTATAGTATTGTCAAAGGAATTAAAATTTGTGATATTTCTAGCTAACATAGAGTATACGACGCACAGCATTTGCCAATAGTTAAAAGAACAATGTTTTATATATAGAAGTAGAAGCTGTTTTACTAAATAAAATCTTGAATATCTATAAACAGTACCATGTTATACGCGAAAGCGAAATTATTTATGCTGACATTTATTCTGCAGACATAAATTTCCGACATTATAGATAAGTGGATGTGTTCCCATTAGCAAATGCCTTTTCCCCGTTGTACTGTAAAGAGTTTTCCCAAAAAGGAAATTTTGTTAAAAGCTTTTTACTATCCTCCATATGTTGCATTTTATATAACGAGAAAAGTTCACCTGTTTTCGTTATAATTTAGATAATACTCTAATGAAGGTAAATATCATTGTCATTAATTTCCGTTGGACTCAGAAGATTGCCGAGTGAAGACTAAAAGGGGTGGAATGAGGAAATCACTAAGATAGTGGGCAAGACCTGGATGCGCGTAGCAAGGAATCAGGTCGCGTGGGGAGACCATGAAGAGGCCAATATCTGACAATAGGAGAACCCGGACTTTAAGAGTAAGAAAAAGAAGAAGAATCTCGTTTATTAATTTCGATTTCCCATGTTAAATACTCAAGTAAAGAAAGAAGTATAACATAGCAGGTTTCCTGTCTGGCAGACTTTTGGGTGGTGTTGTGCTTCTGTCGCTGACAAAGGTTTCAGGGCTCGACGGGGTTGAACAAAGGATTAGGATAGGAGACGCAAGGGTAGTATTATATTTAAGAGAAGTAGGGCATAGCGATTAGACTAGAATAAGAGCACCCGTCTGGGGAAGTAACCTCCATCTTACAGAAGATGACAGTAAAATAACACTACCTTTTGGTGGTGTTGTGTTTCTGTCTGTCAGGTTCCAGGCTCCACGAGATTGGGAATCAGGTTAGGTTAGGAAACGGTGTGAATAATAGGTATTTTTGGTATCGAAAGCGTCTATAAGCTGCGGGTGGCCGCTTACCATCATATGCTTGTTTACCACCCTTTTAACATAGAAAAGTGGTTAGGATATGCGACACGCGGCGTAATATTGTTCGATATTGCACGCATATATCACTCATTACTATTACGCCGACAATATTTGCTTGCTTGGCATTCTTTTCACATAAAAAAATGTTTAAGTAGACGTAGTTTTTTTAGGTTATTCTAATATTTCTGAAAAGAAAAACAACCCTCTGGAAAGTAGTAACAAACTCATTCCGATTGCGGTTGCAGAGGCTTACCTTTTTTTGAGTGTGTATGCTGTTGGTCGCTGATGACCTTTACAACGTCACCGGGTTTGCAGAGGCTTACTTTGTGTTTATGAATATAACACCTAATTTTACCAAACTTTGTTAGTTCAACATCTAACAGCTTGTCAAGTCATTTGGAGTCAAGGGCAATTAATGTGTTTGTATGTTCTACAAAACATTAACAGATGATTTTCCTCCTTGATGCGGTGTTAAACATAATCACGGGCATTGAGATCCGTTACATTTTCTGAGACGATTCTTACTGCGTCAAAATGAACATCGATATTATACAATTTTGAAAGAAGAAGATGTTTTAGTTAATATAAATAATTTGGAAACCATTACGCTTTCCGACAAGATTTTTTTGAAAGAATACAGTGGTATGTGCATTTTAAAACTTACCAATGAAATAAAAAAGGTATGAAAAAATATCATATAAAAAAACAAACCATATATCCCAATTTTTTAAAAATTTCTGTGAGAAAAGGCAAAAACAAAAACAAGTGGTTGCGTCTCAAATCTATTATATACTGAATGTCATTTTAGTGTTGGGCACCTTATCTTATTAAGCGTCCTTAGAAAATAGGACATATCATATTTATGGCAAAAAAATAATGACATAATTTTGAAGCCATTTTAAAATATGAATGATCATATATTTTTTTAAGTATTTAACTGCTAGATGTTCTTTAGATTTGACGAGTGAATGATTATCATAAAAACGACGTAATAGACGTAAAAGACGTAAATTAATTTAACAGCCTTGTTATTTTATAGAACCATTAGCCACAGCAACCGATTTGACGAACTATGGTGAAATTGGGTCTAAGTCTCAATTACTGGATTCAATTGTATAATGAAAATTACTAGCGGCCGTCCGCGACTTCGTCCGCGTTAATTTAAGTATTTTGAGAATCCCACAGGGACTTTGCATTTTCTGGGATAAAAAATATTCTACGTCTCAATCCCGGTCATAAAATATATGAGTACTAACTTTTAATTAAATCCGTTCAGTAGTTTTTGCATGATTTAATAAGATGATAAACAAAAAATATCACCCTATCCATGACCATAAAGCACCTGTCCATGACCTAAACTAAATATTCCATACAAATACAATCACGGGCGAAGCAATATATACTATAGTTGGCAAGCATCTCACATAATTTTCAATTATTAATTAAAGTGAAGTAATACCCTCTAATCTAACCACACCAGTCGTAAATTTCGATAGGAGAGCATAACAAAAGAAATGCATTGTTTCAGTAAACTTAGTTCGATAGTTCCACTATTCACCGCAGCGGGGCGCCACATATCATCACCATTGTCTGCCTTTGTGTGTAGCCAAGCCGATCAGAGCGACTCTGTGCTTTGTCTCTTAATTAAAATTAAGAAATGGATACTCTACGCCTTATTACTCGCCCACGAGTAATTACGTCCGATATTGATATTTTAGGCTAAGGACCCACGAAACGATTTCCACCAGCGCCTGTTGCGTAGCCGGCTACGCGTTGCCTTGGAACGCGTTATCTGGACGCAGCTGCACAATAGTACACGGTAGATACACAATAGCCAATTTCACGATGCGATTGCACCCGCTGAGAGTGCGGCTGTTTGCAGTGGGCTTCATTCGATTTTCTCTTGTAAGTTACCGAGCGTTCTCGCAACCGCGGCCGGCTGCTGCGGTCTCGTGAGTTTTGATATAAAACAGCTCTCCCGCGGCTGCAGCGGGTGCTAGTAAAACCCACTCCGGGAGTTCTTAGCCTTAGCGATCACTTCCCTATTTGGTTCCATTTGTTGACGGCGAGCCGTCGACAGGGAATTATTATTTTGCAATCGAGTTTCTCACGTCATTTTTATAAGCGACAGAGTAAGATACAGGGGTGGAATGAGCTAAAGTAAGGGGTTTACCACAGTAATACAGCAAAGGTTCCCTCAAAAGAGGCGTGAAGGTTTCACTTGGTCAACAATACGCGTGTGACCGAGCAGAACGTTTGCTAGTTTGTTTGTGTTTGTGTTTGTTTTGTTAG